CTGTCTGTCTGTTAGCTGTCTGTCTGTAACCTGTCTGTTAGCTGTCTGTCTGTCTGTTAGCTGTCTGTCTGTAACCTGTCTGTCTGTCTCTTAGATATCTTAATGAAAGTAAATTTAAATCTCTGTAACGAATTGCTGTACATTTACGGTGGATGTTCAACGGTATCTTACAGTATTTCATAATAACTGTAACATACAGTTAAATGTTCGTCCCTCGCATGTAAATTAACAGTTAATTCCGTCAATTAACAATAACAGCAGACTACTATAATTTAACAGCATGATACAGTATTTTCTGTGAAGAGGTGGATAAATATGCTTCTCTATACAAGTTCAGTGAATCTCAATCCATCTACATCGTACTGTCTATTGTGGGTTAATGTGTCTGTAATGATGATAGAATATTTTTATTATTCAAACTGATTATTGCCTAAAAGTCATTGTTGAGTAAGCCGAGGTAACTTGTTTTGTCTTTATGATTATTGAACTGTTAACGTCTCAGATAATGTTTCACTTGGTCAGTTTCGTTACATCAGGTTGCTAATATTAGCGGAGCTAGCTCTGTGACGTTAGCTAGCTCGAGCTAAATTAGCCTTAGAAAGTTTAGCTGGCTAACAGCATAGCAAGTTAAGTTAACCTAAATAAAGTTAATCATCCATTACAGTGTTAAGATGTAACGTTAGCAACATAACTTGTGTTTACTTGTGCTCTTATTGAACCGACTGTAGGACCGCAAATGGGACGATTATCAAAATGGAGAGATCACCGACGTGTGTTCAAGACAGTGAACAGTTGAGGTAACGCTAACGGTAACGTTACGTGTGTGTTATCCCAGGAGCAACAATAACACCAGATCAAACTCATTTTAGTGTGGTGGGCGGTCAGGGCCTGCTAAGCCTTCTCTGCTGGCCTAAACACAATCACAAAGTTATATCTATTTTATAATTTCTCTTAAATACATTACATGTATTATCATCCATCCATCCATCCATTTTCCTCCGCTTATCCAGGGTCGGGTCGCGGTGGCCGCAGGTCAAGCAGGCTGACCCAGACTTCCCTCTCCCCGTATTATGTAAATGTATTATCATTTATAAAGATATTTTCCCCATTATCTTATGTTCTCATTGCACAGCTCCTGTCTTCCTCAGTTGCTCTGCTTCCAGTGCAGCTTGTTTTAAGTAGAGCTTTTATCCAATCAGATCTCACCTCTGTGTCTCTAGGTAAGAACAGAGGCAGAGGCCTGCAGACTCTCACCTGCAGCCAGTGCAGATTAAAGTAAATGGGGACGATATTGTTGATTGTCATAGTGTTCAACCAATCAGATCTTTAGTTTGACATGTTGGGCGTATTCTTTGACGTGCCAGAGCTACCCAGGTAGCCTGCTAAGTACGTCTGCATTAACGTGTGCCGTGATTGGTCAGTGGGCCAGCGCCTGACTAATGTGAAATTTAAGGAAGCTGGCAGAAGTTAGTTGGAGGAGTAAGAGTTCAAATTGAAAGATATGGAAGAAATTATAACATTATAACAGCAGCCCAGACTCAGCCAAAGGATGTGTATGAACGGTGTTCCTGGCTGACAGCGTCGCACATTTTATGGCTGAATGTGTTTCATTGTAACTGAGCGTCTTGGTGTTTGGAGCTACGCTACGCTAACCTGAGGATGCCATAACACGGCAGGACACTACGGTGCTTTTGAAAACTTTTGGAGAAACCCGAGTGGATCTACAGAGGGAAACGGAGCTCCACAACCGGTGCCGGTCTACCGGTGCCGTAGACCGGCGAAATAGAACTGGGGAATCGAGGAGGACTTCTTACTGGAACTGGAACGATGTAGCCTATTGGGATTAAACTCTTTGTCAACAAAGAATTCTTTAAGTGACAAACTGCATTTGTTTGTTTACATCTGCAGTAACGTTTTCATGAATAATATTTGATGGCTCGTGCTCTTGTGTGGTGGAATGCGTGGATCCGATGCAGCTCTGCTGGATTGATGTGTTGCTTTGTTGTCATATGAATATATGTGACTGGTTCTTATGACTTTGTGGTCGTCATTGTGTTAATACGTTGGTTTGGCTATGCATTGTCCGTTAATGACGCAGCGTCCCGTCATGCACGGATTCATGTATCTGCACCATAGCTGTTCAACTGTAGTAGGACAGCACAGGAGGCCCAGGCATAGAATGCACGGCCCGCCACTGGTTGAACGTTAGTCCACTGTGGTCCATTGTCTTAGCTTCATTTCTTCACCTAACGCGATCGGCTCATCACATAGTCTGTTCATTAAACTGTGTGGTATTGTTGTATTAGCTTTTTGCAAAGACTGGCACTGATATGTTAAGCTTCTTCTAAGTCCTGGATGGCATAGAACTTTACAGAAGTTCAGAACATTTTGTTTCTAAAGTTTTTATTGTGTTTGTTTACAGTCACTCATCAGAGATTGAGGAAACCAGCCAGACGCTGCAGTCACGTCCTCCGTGTTCTCTCTCCTTATTGTTTGATTCATGTGAGTTCATGCAGTTCAATTTAACTATAAATGTGTAAAAGACTTGTTAACAAGCAGACTGTGAAGCAGTTCTATTACACTGTTGATGCTAATGAGTTCAGTTAAGCTGGTCATTAACGATTTTATGATTTTATTAGTTTTCTTCTAAACGTGCAGTACATTGTGAGTTTTATGATGTAATACAAATGTCCCTTTATTATTTGAGAGCATGTATTAAACTGCAACAATTATGTATTGAATCTCTATTGTTATTCTTTTATTTGTTGGGAATTAAATGCAAAAGTATTGTGTTGTATTACCCTTTGTAAATAAACGGTTATATTCTGGCATATACCGTTAAATCACGGTAAAGCACAGTTATCCCATGATCACATACCGTAATCCAGTATACGGTAACATACCGTAGAATTAAAGTGTGCTGTAAAAGAACCTGTGACTTAATGGCGTCCCTGCTGCCAGTAAGTTACCGTTAATTTACGGTGAAATTGTTTAGAGTGTAATTTTAAAAACACTCGGAAGTCATTAAGTAGTAAAACTTCAGTGTAGAATCACTAGTAAAGTAAAAGTATATAAGTATCATAATGTAGTTAGTATGAAAAGTATATTTATTTTTATTTGAGGTTTAAACTTTAACCTGAACCTGAAATACTGAATAGAAATAGTTAATTCATTCAAAGTAGATTAAAATACTAATAATAACAAAATATAATACGATCAAACAAAAAAACAAAAGTTTTAATGAGCTCATTGAGATGTAAATTTATTCTGTTGCATGACATCATATGAAAACAGTCATGGCCTCGTTTCTTCTCCTTCTTGTCCTTCTCCTCCTCCCTGAGTGATGCTGCAGTAATAAACTGCTGAGTCACTCTCTCTGGAGTCGAGCAGCAGCAGCGATCCGTCGGCTGAAGTCGAGACTTTCTGCGGACCGACGGCGGCTCCGAACGTCACGTCGGAAGAGTTCTTGGAGCTGAAGCTCAGCAACAGCTCCGGAGGACGACCCGCTGCCCTCCGGTACCAGCTGAGGGTGGAGGAGGTGTTGGAGGAGGTGTTGGAGGAGGAGGAGTCCAACAGGGGGCAGTGCAGGACGAAGTCCTCACCAACCTTCACCTGCACTGAGTCCGGCAGAGCGGAGACGTGCTGCTGACACCGGAGACCTTAAACACAAGTTAATCTATATATTTATATGTACTTTAATACACTTGTGTTTATTTATCAACAGATCACACTCTAATACATTCAATCTATACCCTAACATCTTCATCCAAACTCATAATCAATAACACCAACAAAGAAAAGCTTTCAGTAACAGTTCAACCTACAAACAGTTATAATGACGTGAGAGATCAGAATGAAACATGTGAAGTCTCCCTCAGACAGGACCCAGTGAGCAGCGACCCGGGTTTCAAGGTTGATTCCTGGTTGAAAACGCGTTGAAATGAGGTCTGAACGTCTTAGACCTTTTTTCAACGTGTTTTAAACCGTCTAAATTACGGTTGCAATATGAACGTGTCACAAAACACCAATTTGTTTTAAAATATTGATGTTTGTTCAGTTGTAGGTTGAAAGAGACGCGATTTTGGTTACTTTGAACGTATTACTCCAAAATCATATTACGCTGGCCGGTGATAAGTGGTCTACACGAAGACGTGATTTCAACGCATTTAATGTTTCATATAAAACGTCGTGAATATGGAACTATAGACTGTGTGCTCCCAGGACATCGTAATGAGAGCAGAGCACATTCTGTCTGTATGTTCACTAAAATACAACTCTGTGTTTACTGCTGGAACACGCATGTGCACGGACTCTGTGCATTATTATAAGTTAGAACATAGTTTAGACATTAATAATATTAATACATATATGTGAACATA